ACACAAAAATAAATTTAAAATCCTTGTTTCAATGACCAATAGAAATTATTTTAGGAAAATCAAATATACACTAGGCTTTTAATTTGATTTTACATTATGTTAATGACATGATTTCAAAATTGTACCACCTTTATATCTAGAAATTACATAGTTTGTATTAGTCAGTATGAGTTAGATAAAGATTTATTTTGTCATGGTTCAACTAACAACTAATAGAGTCAAAAGAGAATGAAGGGAATGATATAAAAGGTTTTATTTAAATAAAATAAATGGCATCATTATTCACTTATAAGAGTTGGAATCTTTCTGTTATTGAAATTAAAGGCTGCCACTAATTGCTCACTTATGGTTTATGTACTTTCAAAGAAAACTTCCTCGATCATGTCATTAAGTATACAGTATTTCTAAGTTAAGTTAGAAAGTGGTTGACTGAGAAGGACAAAAAATGCGTTTATTGTTTTACGTGACTCGTCAACTAGATGTACATCCATCCAAGTGTTGATATTCACTTTGACACTTGAATCTAATGCTTTTAACTTTAAGCACCCAACGCTGTATTTACTTGGCTGTTCAGTTCAGTTAGATGTTCCATCGATAGATATTACTTAAGTTTGCCTTAAAATGAAATATTGATTTCCGTTCATTTGCACTTTCAAATGACATTGGTTCATCATACAAATTAGCACAACACATACAAGAGAACAATATTGATTACACTTAAATAAATGATATATTTGTAATATCCCAATGAGTAGAATAAATAGATTTTTTGACGTTTCGTGACTTAGTGTAAGTCACTTCTTCAGAGAATAAATAACCGAATTAAAATTAATCCAAGTTTAAATAGAACAACGGAACACTAATCAAGGTAGTTTATCAGTCAATGTTCACAATGAGGTATATTGTATATGAATATGAATCGTTATCAATAGAATCTAGCGCAAGTTATGTGTTCCACTTTGCACGTTTATAAACTGATCACAAATTTATTGGTAAATAAAAACGATCTGAAATTATTTTTACAATTTCTGAAGGTCTGATGATATGAAATTACTTTCCAGTTTAATTACTTTCTAGTTAAATCAGTTTTCTTAATTTTGTTTAAAAATGATTCAAATCGCAACTGAAAGTCACGCTAGTAACTTGAAAGATACATATTAGACAGTATAACTCTTTACAAATCAATCGAATAAGTTATAATAATTTATGAAATTATTTATGAACATAACAAATTCCGACACGAAATTATACCCACTCAATTGTTTTTGTATAATAGTAAACGTATTTGAGAAGTTTTTCTATTGATCTCTGTCACAACTACTGATTCCTTTTGTATCCAACTGTCTTGATCGGTTTAAAATTGTTTTTTTTTTACTAAATTGAGTATTTTTAACAATGGTATTAGAGAAAATAGTTAATTTTTCTTTTCAACTCTGTATTGATTGATGGAAATTTGTGATCAAACTGATTTCATTAGTGAATTTGTAATTAAACTATCCTTTTACATTCAGTTCCATTTATACCTAAATGGTGTCGTATCAAGTGAATAAAGAATCATTACAAAATATGAATAACTCCGCCTAGAGCCTCTCTGGGGCTACTGCCTGTCCCAAGCCCAGATAAGAGAGGAGTGTTGGGCATGGATTTAGCGACCGCATCTTGTAGAAAGAAATTAGAACTGGAAAGGAAGGCCCAGGACAGGTTGGTTTGGAGAATGCTGGTCGGTGGCTTATGCTCCATTGAAAGTAACAGGCGTAAGTAAGTAAAGTAAGTAAAATATACGAATAATTCTATTTATAATAATGAACGATTTTTAACGCAAAATGAGCGATGATGGATAGTGCCTAGCAGTGGAATCCAGTACTCGCTTTTAGTCCTATTTGGGATTCATCAGCTGAATGTACCTGTATCTCAGAGTTGATGTTCATCCTGGGACTCGAACCCATTATCAGGACAATACGCACAGTATGCACATATGACAATACGAGACTGATCAATTGAAGTCTTAAACATCAATGGGAAGATTCAGTTAAACAATACCAAGTGATTTTTAACAGTTATTATACACTTCAATTAAAATGTTATAAATGGGGTCTTGGAATAAAACATAACTTGTACTCTGAAAACGTCGAAATTTATGTCATGAATTAATGAAAATCCATTTTATCTGATTTAATCATTCATTGTTTATGTATATATTAATCTTATTATCAGTTATAGAAATTATGGTTATGTAATTATCATTCAACAAGAATGTAGATATCTTGTTATTGAGGTAAAACGAAAATATCAAAACTTGATTTTTATTGTCAAAAAAAGTAACTTGACAGATTTGAAAATGAGTTTGTTTAGTTACCCTCAACAAACTTTGTTTTTGCATAAAAGTATGAAGGTAAATATTTGAAACTAAGTAAACTGAGTTTTTACTTCTCAATTGATTTATGACTTATATTTTACTGATCTACTTTTCTAACTGTTTAGACTTCTGATTTTATAAGTTGTAATTCGAACATGAACAATTGTCTACGAAAGATACTCCATATCCGTTGATTGGATATTATCAATAATAGTCTACTATGGAAAAGAAAAAAACCAGCTTTCAAATGAAGAGGGAATTAGGAAAAGACTTTGAAGGTGGAAACGACATACATTGAGAAAATCATCAGACTACATCACGAGACAAGTATTAATTGGGAATTATAAATGGAAATGTAAAAGAGGATGACCAAGGAACACACTGCACCAAGAATCGGAAGCAGATATGAAAAGGATGAATAGTAAATGGAAAGAACTGGAAAAGATTGTCCAGGACAGTGTTCGATGGAGAATGGTAGTGTTCAACCTATGCTCCTCCATGAGTGGTAACAGGCTTAAGTAAGTACATAAATAACTTCCAACATACGGTTAATGTATTTGTATTTTAAAGTTGTACATTGGAACTTGATAACATTCTTTAACCAAAGTAATGTGATATATAAAAGAATTCACTGAATACATTTTAGATTTTCTCAACTGATATCGTTAATATTTCTCAAATGAAATGATGATAAATTTGTGAATGTTGATCAAATCAAAGTGAGTTTTGCTTGTGAAATTTGGCTTTACTAAGTACGAGGTAAAATAAAAGGCAGTCAGAATATTTAACAAGTATAGTCAATAAATGTTTATTCAACAAGGAATTATCAGTTATTACATGATATAAACTTTTAAGCATAGCCAAATTGATGAATACTGATATTCTTTATATTAAAATGAAATATCATTAACAGATTCCCACAAATCAATTCCACTATACACCAATATGTTAATGTCCATTTTCTGTACATTATTTCTTTATGGTTCATGTAATGTTTTTTTTAGTAATTGTGCTGAAGAATGAAATAAACATTTCTCCTACAATTATCCTCATCTAAAATTGGTATTATTTGATAATCTTTTAGAAGATTATGTAGTGTAATTAGCGACACCAACTGAAACCCGCTAAAAGCATAGAATGACAGTTAAGTTAATGGTTGGATTTACTTTGTAAAACGTTTTTGTTATTCATGTCACATGACTGGTTAAATTTCAAGAAATTAGACTTTTAGTGTTTCATAATTATTAAATATTCTAAAACTAATAATAGTGTTATGATTACAATAACATTCAACTTCACAAATCAGTACAAACTACTGATAGTTAGTATTGTTAAACAAACATTACACACAAATATTACTTTTTACACAAAATCTAAAACTGCTATCTCTTTACCATCTCACTGACATTCTTCACTTGTATGATTTACTGAAGAAACATAGTTTTAAGACTTTTTATTAATGAATTAACAATTTATGTTGAAAATGATGAACATATTCTGAAAAACATAAACTTAATTTTTACACGCACTAAGATCAATGTTTGATTGACATCAGTGTTCTGTAATGTTTGCAGAAATATCTAATTTCGGGAAAAGTTTTTTTCATCTTACTCTTGTTTGCTACTTATTTCTCCTGGTGGTAGATAAAAGATCAACTTAACTGTTAGCTTAGCACATAAATTGTCACACTTATGAATAAGTTTTACTAGTACAGAAAAAGTAGATGTTAGCATAATATCTTATTGACCAGGTTTTCCATGGTGGTCTAACTTTAATTGATTCATGATTTCAACTACTGAAATTACTAAAATTTCCACAAAAGCTCTTCTGAAATTCCAAGCATTTGATCGGTTTTGAGTATCTTGGATTCAAATGAAATAAACAGAATAAAGGTAGTAAATATTTCATTATTCAAAATCTTTTAAACTTATGCTTCCACTTTTTTCATGAAAAATAAACAATTTTTATCTTGTTCTCCTTTAGTTTCTATTACTTGAGTTTTCATTCACAAACGGGAAATAGAAAAACATTTTATTTTGAGTTGCTATTCAGAATATTCATTTCGTTATCTGTGTTTTCCTTAAACATAATCAACATTTTCAATAATAAAATAGTCCTGTTAAATTACCTTTATCATTTAAATTTACTGTTTATTTGTTTTGTTTTTTAATGTAATAAACAAAATGGTTAACATTCAGTTTCTATCCTGATTTTCACAAACTTATGAAGGTATATCTTAGGTCACTTAAAGTCTATTTGATAGTCCATATGCTATTTTGATAAATGAAGCTTAGTCTTCTTCATATTATTAATAAAACGGCCATCCAGTGATTCCAGGTTTTCCATAATGGTCTACCTCCAATTGACTCATGATTTCAATTAAAAACTTAACAATCTCCACAACCCCTAAACTGATCATTTCAATCATCCAATCATAGTAAAGAAATTTACATCAAGAATATGATTGGTTGATTTATACAGATTCTATAAATAACTAACATTTATTAGCTTAATTATGATTGGTTCGTTAATCAACAAATTTTCAAATAATTAATAAATCATATTTTAAAAATGATATTCAAAATATCATATTCATTTTATTATATTAAAAGTTAACATTCATTTATTAAATCATTCATTAAAAATGAATAATCTTCCACAGATTTTAATTGATCCAATTATTAATGAAAAGGATATAATAGAGACAATAATTGAACCAATTGAAGATTGTAAATCATTAACTGTACCACTTTCGAAATTTTATATTAACAATGACAATGATAATAATAATAATAATAATGTTGACAATAATGGTAATTGTAATAACAACACAAATTACAATCAAAATGATGGACATATGAATTATACTAATCATTTAAATAATATTATTGATCATTCTAATAATTTAGGACAAACTATAGTAGGAAAAATATATATAAGATCTGTGAATTCATCAAATTCATCAAATAAATATAATCAACTTGTATGGGTACAAATTTATCAGAAATCATCATCAATTTCATCAAAACTGAATACACATAATATAGATATTCCAACTTTTGTATTATTATTAAAAACAAGAATAAATCCACAGAATTCTGAATATACACCAGATTATTATTCACCACCTTATATGACATTTAATTTAAAACATACACGTTCAAGTCTAATAGATGAGAAACATTTTCATATTTATACAAGATGTGGAGAAGGTATAACACTTGAAGGTGAAATAGCTGATGAACATTCTGTATCTTACTGGTTATCGATTTTTAATCAAAATACATTAATTCCTAATCATATGGAATTTATTCGTACAAATGAAATAAAAATACGTTCGGCTCCTAATTCACCTAGACATATAAGACGACGAAATAATATTACTACTGATATTAATAATAAACATTGTTTCATTGATAATCCAACAAATTGTAGTACACATTCAATTTCTCGTATGTGTATATTTGAAACACTTAATGAAACACAAGAATCAGAAAGTGGAGTATGATGGTAATTTTTTTTTTAAATTTACAGTGTAATCATCATTTGTTTGTTTGTTTTTAACATGTAAATTGTCTTACAATATTTATTATTACAACATTATTCATGTTATATCATTCATAATCATTAGCATTTTTTGAATATTTTCTAATTTGTATTACTAAAGGAAGCAGTATCAATGTGTATTTCATTATTTTTTATCTAACATCAAACAGATTATTCCGATAAATTAAACATTCCTTGTATGATCATTATATCATTGTCATAATTTATAAGACAAATAATTTATATTAAGCGCTTATGATAAAACTATGAATGAGGTGCTAGCAAAGAGATCATTAAACAATAAATGAAGATAATAATTGGATTTTTTATGAAGATTTATTCATTGATGTGACTTTCGTTTTTGTTTTTGTTTTTAGGATAACTCACTTCTGATGTCTTCTTCTTTTTTTAATTGTTACTCTAAGACAAATGAATATAGATTGTAAATAAATTAGTTTTGATTATTAAACATTGCATGTTGTGCTGACTGTTTATTCTATAATAACGGATGATACAATGTATACTTCATATAATGGTCGTCAGGTTTTATACAATAATGAAATAGATGTATTATTTGCCTCCTTTTTGATGAAAACAAGATAAGATCAAAATATGGAACGAGATAATGATAGGTTGAATGTCAGCAATAACCAATCAAGACCAAAGTTGACAGAATAGGCTCAGTTAGAAGTGGAGAAATTCGGTTAGTTCATTTCTACCTAAAGTTTGTTCTGATGATGTTGTATAGAAGAATAACGAAAGTTTCAAGACTAAACCATCCAGATTAGAGAAGAAAACTCTACCGAAATAATTCATTGGAGCTACAAATCTTCTCCATTATTATTTACCTTATGCATAAAATATATCATCCACATGATTGATTCTTGTTAATAACTAGTATTAAAATACACTGAGACAGAATATCGAATTTTATGCATCCTTATTCCTCGGTAAACTTGAATAAAGCGATAAGAACAAGATTTACAAAATAACATGAATTCATCATATTTCGAGGCTTTTCATTCGCTGTAAATGACCAAAAATATCCATTATTATTATTACTACAGAGCTATTGGTCCCTCTGATAAATTTGTATCATGTAACAAGAAGACACAAATTATCAAAACGACGTGATATATTAGAGCAGTACATTTCAAGCAATCTTATTACACATATACTTGTTAAGAACATTTTTATATAATAGTTAAGATAGATTAGTATTTATATTATTAGAGATGTAATTATAAAATGTAGCGGTTGAAGTGTTGATTATAAAAAAGACAATGAATAAAAACAAATTGTTAACATGACAGTCAATTAAAATACAATTCAAGTTAAGATCATAAGTGAATATCAGTGGAATTCAGTGTAATAAAGAGATAATATAATTGATAAACATTAAAATAACTATCACTAACGTATCATGGTAATGAAAGGTTTACCAAACATTCTTTCTGTATACAAAAGTCAAATCCTAAACGTTAGACTGCAACAACCTATTCAAAGAGGAGTAAAAATGGTGTTTACAGCTTGTTAGTTATTTAAAACACTTTTATGATATCCACGTTGTTACCAGTTAATTGGAAAGCCATGCTCAAGCTTCAGTCTTTAAATAACTAAATATTTTCATCCAGATAGGATTAAATTAAACTTAATACATAAGAAAGTATGGACGTTTCCTACATATATGATAAGGAAGTGACTATAATCATATTCGTCAAATCCAAACAATCTCTGACAGCGAATTATTTTAATTATTTCTAACGAAATACTGTTACATCTCTATCCTTGACTGACAGCGTGGAAACAAAAGAATTAGATTTTTAATGAACATATGGTTTAAGAACAGAGAAAACAACGTTTTCTGTTGTTACATTATGCTGCATAATTGTTTATATTTTTTAAAACCAACTTATGATCATTCAGAAAGTCAATAAAACAGATGAAGTTTCATAATCATAATTGCGTTTTGTGGATATTATAATAATTTAATAGTTGAATTCATGAGTCAATTAATGCCAGACCACTATGGAAAACCTGGAAGCACTGAACGGCTGTTTCGTCTTAGTATATTTAAAAGAAACTATTCAATATACTCAACATTCATTGGCCGGATACCATCAGCAGCAGCCTTTTGTGGGAGAGAACAAACCAGCTTCCATCTGAAGAGGAAATTAGGGAAAGACGATGGAAATGGATAGGACACACATTACGCAACTCATCAAACTGCATCAGAAGGCAAGCTCTGACCTGGAATGCTGAAGGGAAGCGTATAAAGAGGAAGGCCAAAAATCACATTACGTCGGGAAACAGAATCAGATATGAAGAGAATGAATAACAACTGGAAGGAGCTGGAAAGGATTGCCCAGGACAGGGTTGGATGGAGAATGCTGTTAAGCGGCCTATGCTCCTTCACGAGGAGTAACAGGCGTAAGTAAGTAAGTAAGTAAGTATTGAAATATACATTGAATACACAAGTCAGCTATGTGAGACAGCATTTAACGTTTTCTATTATTACTGGGGATACTGGGGTACAATAAAACGTCATCATAAAACTTAACTCATAAGCTCTAGTGACTTTCAGCAACTTGTTCACGTTTATTTATTGAATAAAACAAATCCCTATTCTCAATCATTTACGTACAATCGTATATTCTTCTAATAGGGAGAAACCACTTATTGTAATTCTATTATTCTAGCATAGTTAACATGCTTACAAAGACACGAAACGCCACTCAGATTTTCTGATAACTTTATTACCAAATTTATCAATGAATATAAATTCGTTTTGAAATAAAAATATCCCGTTAATATAATTTATGTTATATTTGAATCTGATTAGTGATCATTCTCTACAAAGAATCGTATTAATGAACTGATGATAAACATCAAGGGGTTATATGATCGTTGATCGTAGTATTCACAACAAAATCATTCCTTTTCGCATAGTTACAAAATACACGTCATTTGATTTTGACTGTATTCATAAGTAGTTAAATAAGAACGATTTTCAAACCGTGAAGGTATTTATTATTGTTTACTTTGGTTTTACACCTGTTAATACCTTGTTATTAAAGCAAACACCGATGATTCAACGACCAAGCATAGAAAATGATCCAATCCGATGTGTACATTACTAGATGCGTAGTGGTCAGCGGGTTAGAGGTTAAGCGCTCTCAGCGATACCTTCAAGTTTTGCGTCCAATCAACCAAGGCATCTTTCATACACACTAGTGAGGGGTTGCCATACTGGTACAAAACAGATGTCCAGTGCTTCCAGGTTTTCAAAAGTTGCCTGGCTTTGATCTGTTCATAATACTGATAACATTCAATACTCTGCATAAACCTCTTATATTGATATTTACTACTCATTTGTGAATAGGTACTAAGGCTTTAGCTATAGTTTCACTTTGTACTAAGAAACTTTGATCTTAAATGTATCATCAACTTTTAATATATTTATATTCATTAGGAGACGATAAATGTTTCGGAAATTTAAGAGACATTTATTTATTTAGTAAAGATATGAGTGAAAAATACATATAATTGACATATTCGATGGTGTGTGCTAATAATGTCGACAGATATAAGTAGTATGTATCACCAATCGAAACTGAAATGACTAACGGTAGAAGGTTAAAAAAAATTCGAAGAGAAGAGAACGAGAACAGAGAGTGATTGGTATAGAATCGAACGAACAACAAAGTTTGAGACAATTGATGGATATTATGCAAGTGAGGTATTTACTGTATGATTCCCAAATTTTACCAAGATATTTTGTAATTATTATTATTTATTATTTTAACGCATAGATATTGGTACAAAGAGGCACCAAATACATATGCGTCACACAGAACTCATTTGATATGTGTGAAGGCTGTGATACTACCCAGGTGCCCAAACCGAAGCAGGTGGTTTTATTAGGGGGCACACCCGTAGCCTTCGACCTAAAGGTATGATCCACAAGGCAGTGGAGCATTGTGAGAAGATGCATTCCCATGGTAACCGGTGACCAACAATTGGTTCATACACCATTTGTTCCCTCAGGGTACTGGAGCCCATGTGCACCATTGGTTTAGAATCAGTTTCCTAACTCACCTAGGTGGACTCACAGTGTCCACCGGCCCGATTAAAGCGCCTGACATTCGCCTTTCGTCCCTCGAATTTCGTAAACAACACCCTATCGCGAAAAGGCAGTAAGTATGACTTCCCTGGCAGAGGCTATATACGCGTGGCTATGTGAGAGCATTTGGAGAGGGAGAGCGGACTCTCCCCACTCTTGGTCATACCAGGGCAATTGATGGCCATTTGTTTGTCCCAACCTGTATTCTCTTTCACTACAACTCCTTTACTTTCCCATATGATACACTGTAGTGGTAAGAAGTCCTATTTTTCGATTTTTTTAAAAATGTCATAATAGTGTGCATGGCAAATCAACCCATTTATTATTTACATAAATGATGTTAATTTTATGCATAGGACGATACATCAACAATATCTATACTTCAATATTAATCAATAGTTTTACTCTTCAAAATTCTCAACTAATAACTACGTATTATGGTTGGTATAAATCAATATTATAATATGATAAGGTTTTGACAACAGTTGTTACTTTTGTTGTTGAACAATGACATGCAACTTACATTTGTTTCTACTGGTATTCTTCTCTTGAAGAATGATAAGTATATTGTAGTGTTTTTTTCAGTATTTGTTTTGTTGTTTTACTTAAGACAAAAAATCCCCTGTATTGTTTTCTCTTTCTAATCGCGTATATTTGCTAACGTTATAGTATTGTTGAGTATTAGTTTAATCTATTTATCTTTATTAGAAGTATCTTTCGTTTTAAATTTCATTACTATATTTTTAAACTTAATGGATATTCATTTCAATAAATTGCTGAACTAAAGCCAGTTAGGAATAAGTAAAAACACATTTTGTATTTTCTATTTACACCCTGAT